AGGGCCCTTAGAACCCAGGATGTCAGAGCTGGGAGGGCCCTTAGAACTCAGGATGTCAGAGCTGGGAGGACCCTTAGAACTCAGGATGTCTGAGCTGGGAGGGCCCTTAGAACTCAGGATGTCAGAGCTGGGAGGGCCCTTAGAACAAGGAATGTCAGAGCTGGGAGGGTGCTTAGAACTCAGGATGTCAGAGCTGGGAGGGCCCTTAGAACAAGGAATGTCAGAGCTGGGAGGGCGCTTAGAACTCAGGATGTCTGAGCTGGGAGGGCCCTTAGAACCCAGGATGTCAGAGCTGGGAAAAACTTTAGGGATCAGAGGTCAAATTCCAGCACTGTCACTGTATTTGTGACCTTGAACAAGTCACTTCACACCTCCAGGTGTTGGTTTCCTCACGTGTAAGAGGAGGAGGTTGGACTGGGGCAGCCTCCAGGGGCCCTCCCAGCTCTAAATCTATAATGTTACGATCGCCTAATTCAACCATTCCTTTTACAATGGAGTAAACTACAGTTATCACCTGGCTTTAAGTAGCAAAGTCTAGTCATACTCAGGCCTTTAGACTGTGCAGGTGGGGGTGTGTGTGTGTGTGTGTGTGTGTGTGTGTGTGTGTGTGTGTGTGTGTGTGTTTCTTTCTTTCTCTCTCTCTCTGTCCCCCTCACCCATCCTCTGTCTCTGTCTCTCTCTCCCCCTCCCCTCTTTCTCTCTCTCTCTTTTTCCTGAGCTCCCTGGAGACAGAATTGGCAGGAAACATAATTCAGATTGGAGCAGGATCTGGGGGGAATTGGGAAGGGGGAGGGGAGGAGGACTGGGGTTCTGCTGACACAGCACATTCCTGGAGCAGGGTTGGGGATGAAGGAAGCCCTCATGTGGGGTGATGTTCCCCCTGGCCCCCAGTCTCCAGAGACTTTCTGCCAGGGTCACCACGGTGGCCTTCTGCCCATAGCAGCTGGAATCCCTCTCCTGTAAAAGCTTTTACCCTGTTCCCACCATGCCCTTCCCCCTCACTGCCTGTTAGGTTTCCAGGCGTTTGGGTGGGTGGGGTTTGGATCTCCCTGGTTCCATGGGGCCCCTTACCCTGAGTATCTCCCTGCCAAGAGCTCCCTCCCCCCTGCTTCTGTGGGCTTCCTGCCAGGACTTTTTCCCCTCCCTGGTAACAGCCAGTCTGGAAAGGAGCAGGATGACGCCCTTCCTGGGAGCGGAGGTGGGGGGTGGGGCTGCTGGGGGGAGGGGGCACAAAGTGAGTTCCAAGAACTTGAAAGTGGAAAATGTAAAACTGAAGAGGTCTTGGGTCCTGGGGATGGCACGTAGAGTGAGGAGGGTGGGCAGTGAGGTGGAGGTATAGAGAACCCTGCCCTGGGAATAGGAAACCTTTGGGATGCAGAGCCTAGCTAGACATAAAGCAACTGTGCTTGTGGGCCTCTGCTCTATCTGAAAATGAGGAAACATTCTGAATTGACAGTCTGTGCATTATGTCTTTGACGTCCTGTGTTCTAAGGCCCCTCCCAGCGCTGACATTCTGGGTTCTGGAGGCCCTCCCGGCTTTGACGTTCTGGGTTCTAACAGCCCTTCCTGCACTAATTGTTTATATTCCCAGTTTCCTTCCCATCTCTAAATCCTCTGGCCCTGTTATCAAATGCATCAGAGATGTGTCAGGCTCACAGAATTCAAGGGAGTACCTCCAGGGCCTCTAGTTCAGCTGAACCCCGCCACCGAACATAGCCAGGCCCCGGTAGACATCCGACATGCGCTTGAAGACGTGGAGCAAGGCGGGGGTCTCTCCCTCCAGGGGCAGCCCATTCTACTCTGGGACAACTCTTGTGGTTAGAAAGTTTTTCCTGGCGTGGAGCAGCAAGCCGCCCCTGCAATCTCTGCCCATTCCTCCTAGTTCTACATGGTCCTAGGATCAGCAAAGTAACTGGGATGTTTAGCCTGGAAAAGGGAAAATGGGGGATTAGAGGGGAGATCTGAAGGTCTGTCATTGGCAGAGGCATTGCACGTGTGCCATTGACCCCAGAAGCCACAGCTGAAACTGCAGGTTGGCCAATTGAGGCGAGATGCCAGGAGGAACTTCTCAGCAGCAGAGCTGTCTCAAAGGGCTTCTTAGAGGGGCGATGGGTGCCCCTTCTGGGTGGTCTTCCAGCAGAGGGTAGCATTTATTAAGGGCTGACTGGGTCCCAGGCACGATGTTAAGCGCTGGTGATACAAAAGAAGGCAAAAACACGGGCCTTGCCTTTGAAGGACTCGACTGGTAGGAAGGCAGCAGGGTCGATAACTCTGAATGGCCGATAAATGCAGACTCATGGAGGGAGGTCTCAACGGCGGAGGCCTCCTGCGGGAGGGAGGCTTTGAGCCACATCTACGGCAGGAACAGTAGGAGGTGGCGGTGACGGGGCAGAGCGGTTCAGGCACATGGGGACACTCGGGGCTTCTCAGAAGCCATCTAGTCTGACTCCTCCACTTCAACTTGAGTTCAGACCTGAGTCCAGAAACTGGCTTGTCCGAGGTTGTCCATCTCAAAGGTAGAATTCCAGCCCAGCTCTTCTGACTCCGGATCCCGTCCTTATTTCTGTTTTTTCCTCAAGAAGAACATGAGGTATTTTTATCAAACTGTTGCAAAAAAAAAAAAATCCAAGTAAATTCTAGCTACCACATTGCCACTTTTAGAAAGCCCATCAGACAGTCTGGCCCGACCTGGCTC